TTGAAACTGAATGTCTGAATGTGAATGTGTTACATGTGCCATTTTCACCACATCGTGAAAATGAGTAAGATGTATGAGAGGACATGAAGTAAGACATGAATTCTCACAGGTAATTAGAGCCACTCCAGTGGATCCAGATGTTGACTAAATTGGTGGAACAGCTTGTGTAGGGCTGTCCTAAGGGTTGGGCTTTTCTTTTTTTTGCTGTGGCATGTGCAAAGACCTTTGTTAATTTTGTCTGCATTACCCTGACTCTGCTGAGACAACACCTTTTGATGGGATGTACGAAAAGAAACACACTAAAGCTCCTCTGGAGCAGCTGGAGAGAGCTTCTGTATGTCCAGTGGGAACATGTAAACTGCCGGTCTTCAAACCGAATCATTGTCTTATTTCAAAGCAGCGGAGCAAACGGCCACTTCTTATATCTTTTACACTCTAAGAGGGTATTTGTTTCACTCTGAACCGACATATTGATCAACCACCGATTGGTTGAACTGTCGATCATTCTGTCGGGGGCTCAAAAAACCTCTGTCTTTATCCATAGGACCAACAACAGCATTAACAGGGCTGAGAGTTGCTCACAGCTTAGATTGCTCCACATACTTATGAGACCGCCCCTACATGGCACAAAAACAAACATTTTCACCATGTTTTTGATATTTTCTTTCCTACAGGTTAGTTCTGGACACTAGCATTTCACGTATCTAAAAACCCTTTAATTCATTAATATATACATATATATATCCTTAAAGGTGTCTAGCTTTATCCAACTAATCTTTGTATGCCTGTATGACTTAACCTCTTTGTATAATTTAATAATGTCTTTCAACTAGTCAACAGATGGAAAGTAATTGAAAGATTTAATATTGTGTGTGTTTGGGATATCACGTCCAAGCTGTCTGGCTTTACTAAAACAAATTCAGCTTTCTTTGCCTGTTTGGTGCATTTCCCATTTGTCAATCATCAACCTCAGATCCGTGTTGCTCGTAGCACTTCAGAACACAGAGCACAGCTCATGGTTAAACATTTGCGTTTGACTTGGTCATTTTAAACAGTAATCTTTAACACTTCGCCTCACCTGATCACGAAACCCCGCAAAGAATTTACAGATTAGTAAACTCAAACGGCAGTGTAATACTTAGAATAATGCTATGGTACACATGTGTTCACATCCATAAAGTTTTCCTTGTTATTGTTGTAAAGAGACTAAACAATTAGTATTTTCTTGATGGATCTATTGTGTGTAATGGCCAAAAATGATAAACACACCAGATAATAATGCCATTAAATGTGGGAAATGTGTTTATGGAAAATGTTTTCTATCTTTTATCCACTCTACTAAACGATCCTCAAATTGCAGTATATCCTGTGCTGTACACCTAAATATGACCATATGTCCCTGTTTACAACCATTTGTTTGCATTCATATAATAGCTTGTGGGCGAACAACCAGTGGCTGACCTATCACAGAGTGCTTCTGGGCTGAAAAAAGCAATCACACCAATAACAAATATATTCATTTTCTCATCATTAGCTGCAACTTTACGCAACAACAAAATTCTTCTGAATTCAGGCGAATATATTGTAGCTGTAGGAGACGAAGAAACGTGAAATACCCAGAAAACACTGTTGTAACATGTTGTGTAAAGCAGCCACTATTCTAGAGGCTCCACTGTGCTGCTCTTCCACCTCACTCCCACACTCTGCCACTTCTCATCACTCTTGAGGCCTTGAAATGACTGAAATCCATCAGCTGTCACGTAGACAGTCTGAAAGCGGGAAAACAGCACAGTAGCACGTAAAAAGGAGCGCTGATAGCTTTCACATCCATCCACAGTCAGAGCTGTACGGCTGATATGCCCATGCTAAGTAACACTCTATCTTTTCAAAAGAAAAAAGATGCTGCTGCGGTCTGGAGTGCCAAAGTGGTCTGTCCACCCAGTTAATTGCCTATCTTTTATGTTTCCTATATTTCAGTGCTGCCAGTCAATTGCTCTCGTCTTGCTCTAATGCATATCCTGTTTTGGGCCTTTTTCTTTTCCAAAATGGGACACTAAATCACAAAATGGACACCGTGTAGCTTTGAATACGACATAGAGTTGATGATTAAGACGCTAAACTCACTGATGACACAGTTTATTTCAGAAGTAAAGTTGTTTTCCTGTACAAACTGTGTTCTAAATGTAATCTGCATGTTGCATTGGGAAAGATGCACCTTTGACAGGATGCCATTTCAAGACAGGGATTAATTCTTCAAGTGTGTTTCGGTATGGAATGACCACTTAACTTAATGTGCTTGGTTTTGGGCAGTGGGAGAAAGAAAGTGTACCTAGTGACAAGTACATACCAGAAAGGGGTGAAAAAGCTAACTTTAGAACTAAACCAGGAGCCAGCATGAAAGCTTGGACCAACACCAAATGATAATTCTGATAAGTGATTCAGCTTCCAAATTGTTGTCCACCTTAGCTGTTGGTAAGATTTTTCCATTTTCTGTTCTGCTGTTAAAATAACTATAAATAGATTTCTTTCTTTCTCGTCTTATTGAACATCTTGGTCTGAAATAAAAAACCTTGGCACCTGACCGTCTTGCTTCCTTTTGCTAATTTTGCTACGATGGCATCATAATCAATTTTCTCCATGTACTTTATACAAATTTTGTGCCATGCAAAGATTCCGCTTATGCTCTCTGAATGAATCGAACTGAAGACGTGTGATTCCATTTAATCTAACTGAAATGTTACTTGACCACTTTTTAAAGTGAATGTACATTGGAGATGAAACATAGATAGAGAAGAAGTGGTTAAATGAATAAATTGTTCAAAGATGAGAATGTAAAATGGAAGAGAAGTTTCCATGGAAACAATCAGCCCCTGGCCAGCAATCAACGGTTTAATTACAGAAAATTAGATATAAAGTCAAGATAGAGCAGAGCCAACTGTGTGTTTACTATAGCATCAGACAAAATTACATCTCCCCAGTCTGCCACTTGTTTTCCTCACTGTCATATGAAGTTTGAGGAGAGGAACAGATCGCTGCTGGTTCGGAAGGAGATTCATTTTCTGCTGCAAGTGGAGCAGAGCTGATGGCTGAAGAAAGGGGCCAATGGAAGGGGCACAAAAGGATGTCATCTGCAGAGTATTTTTAGAGTGTGAGGTGCACTGATAACTAGCTGCCGGTGCAATTTGCCTGTAGGTTTCCAACAATAATCACTGCTCTCTTTATGCACATTCACTCAGTGTTTCCTCTTCTCGTGCAGGGGAAGAAGACATGCATGCACACGTGCATGCCGTCAAACAGGCTTGCATTCGGAATGATAAAAAGATTGTAAGCAGGAAGCAAATTTCAAGCTTCATCGAGTATTAAATGTACAGGATGTTCTTTCGGTGCAGACTTCTGGGGTCTGGGTTTTCTTAAGTATTTTTTTTTAGGTTTCAGCTCCCAGTCACATCCAATCTCTTGTAGGCAACTTAATGAAATGCTTAGGATTTCTTTCTGGTGTTCTATGAAGTCAATGCAGGAGTACATTCAAGTGTAAGAAGTGGAGAAAAAGTTAAACTTCTACTGGAAAAAAAACAAGTAAATATCCTTTTAAAAACTTGTACTCGTTGCGGATATTAATGTAACTGAAATCATGGGAAAACTCAGCCACTTTAAATTAGTTCAGAAGCAATTTGTGCAAAATGCATCAGTTAAGTTTATTAGTTTATTAACTTATGCAAACAATTCCATATTCTTGTGGCCATATTCTTGTATAAAATACACAAATTAATAAAGACTGTCCTTATGTTTCTGTTAATTACAGATCGCTGCAGTTTTTCCTGCACATACTGTTTTGACAACTCTTTAACTGTTTAAGTTGGAAGGAAAACAAATTATGTTGATTTTCGTCCCAAGGAGGGATACCCATCTCAAAGCAAACCCTCAGATTTTAAACTTTTACCCCGTTTCTTGGCTTATTTGAAGAACAATAGCATCACCTGCTGGCAATGAATACACAAATAATGAAAGTTTTTGCTGCGGTCACACTTTACTCATAAAATGAGGAGGAACGAATAAAAAAGACCAATTCGTATACGTTTTTGTGGAAGGGATCAACCTCTTCCCTTGAGTATATCTTTCTTAAATATACCAATTATGGGAAAATCTATCTATCTATCCGAATATCGGATCGGGACAAGCCTAAAATACAGTATAAAGATCAGGGGTGCACAAGTCTTCTACTCCTGCAGCTACAGCTGCGACCCCCCCCCCCCCAAAAAAAAAACAACAAAAAAACATCAATAATATCCTCATAAACTCGCGATATTATTTAGGGAAAAAACAACATTTTACTCACTTACTTTTCTTGAAAAGTCCATCTTGAAAATGGTCCTGACAGTAAATCCGCCACCAAATCATAAAATAGCTATTACACCAACACAACTATATTTCGGTTTGTTTGCTAGCTTTGCCCTGATTGGATATCTGACTATCCGTCAGCGGGCGTGAATACGGTGACGTTGCATAGGCCTTCCAGCAGGCCCCGGTATCACCAACCTAAAATCTGATTGGTTGAAGCAACAACGTACTCGACATGTATTTTCTGTTGGGGGGGCCTGCAGAACGGGTTGTGAAGGCCTCCAGGCAGACATCTTTGACTTTGACCCTGCCTAGCGACAAAGGATGTCTGAAATGTGATTGGTTAAATGCTTTTATATGAAAATGCATGTCTGGAAGCAGCGCAACCAGGTTAAAAGCTATGAAAGAAAGCGGACAGACTATTTAGAGATATTTAATGAGTTTCCATGGACAAAATATGATTAACATCAGTCTGTGATTCAGATATTTTCTTAGGCCTTCAGAGAAGGCCTTGAAGACCCTGACGGCCCACCACTGCTATCTATCTATCTATCTATCTATCTATCTATCTATCTATCTATCTA